ATTACTGACTCACCCAAATAGCCACAGTGAGTGTGGATACAGCATGGACAGAAATTGCTTTGATCTGAGCAAAACAGATAAGATTGAGTAAGTTCATAGGGAACTTACATGTAGAATTTCAGGGCTAACGTATCTCTAGTGGCCCAAATAAAAAGAAGTTGAATCCCAGAGGTCCACCTGCAAATGTTGTAAATGTGTCTGTGTTCCACTTGCTGCAAGCAGACAATTGACACTTTCCCTCAAACATTCTTGGCAGGTGTATTTTATATAAGAAATTAATTAGTCATCATTTATTTATTTTTTATATATTTTTATTTTATAATTAACTTAATTTCACATATCAGCCACGAATTCCCCCGTCCTCCCTCCTCCCACCCCACCCCACTCCCGCCCTCACCCCCAATCCATCCCCCATTCCCACCTCCTCCAAGGCAAGGTCTCCCCTGGGGAATCAGCCCAGCCTGGTAGACTCAGCCGAGGCAGGTCCAGTCCCCTCCCTCCCTCCCTCCCTCCCTCCCTCCCTCCCTCCCGTCCTCCCTCCCTTCCTTCCTTCCTTCCTTCCTTCCTTCCTTCCTTCCTTTCTCTCTTCCTCTCTCTCTCTTTCTTTCTCCTTTATGATATCATCTCACTATGTCATCCAGGTGGGTCTTAAACTCAGCTTTTTTCCACTGACTCCCCAGCACTGAGAATTTGGCCATTCACTGTCATGTCTGACAATGAGTTTTCTTTTGTCTATTCCATTGTAGCAGGTAAGTAAAAATTCATTTTGATGATGATATCCGTGAATGGATATTAACACAATTAATCAACCAATGACACAGAATTTCTAAAGCTTTGATTCCCACAGTCTCTCATGTCAAACCCTAGGTTAAACAAAACTGTTTATTCTTGAGAATGAAAGTTGTTCATGCATTGACTTATTTGCATGCTGTATGTAAACGGTGGCGGTGACTGCATATCGTCAGACCTACTCAAAATTCTGTAGCTTCAAAATGACAATCATGTATTATTATAGTTTACTAATCTAAGAATTGACTGGGGATCAGCTAATCTAAATTGCATTTGGCTGATTTCAATTTGATTTACTCATTCCTCTGCTGGATGGGCATGGCTAGGGAATGTAAGCTGTGACAGTGTGGCTCTGGTTTCTCTTTTCTTGCTCCTCTAACTGCTGGACTAGTCTGGAAATTCTTCTCTTTGTGATCATAGTGACTTACTAAAATATTCACTAAGTCCTCTAAAAGTCAGTTCTCAGGTCACTAGGTCTGATAGCAGTAGATGGTGATGAAAAGAGAGGCTGAAGATTTAGGCCTTTAATAAAAATTCTTACATTGATCGTGTGTCACTAGTAACATAACAGCATCAGGGAATTTGCTTGAAAAACTTCATCAATGCTTTTTTAGCCCCGTTGTTATGACAATACATATGTTAGAGATGTGGTCTGCATGCAACAGAGAATGAGACAGGCCTCAAATATGAAGACAGATAGAATGGGATTCTTTTGAGGAGTGGACACCCCTGGAGAGTTCTGCTCCATCCACTACTCCACAGTAAACCTACCTTCAGCTTTTGTCTCAGTTCTGCCATTTCCTTTGGCAATCAAAGTATTAGACTCCCTCTCTCTCACCCAAGTCCCTGACTATGATACTATCTCCTATTTTCTTTAACCTACAGTTAAATAGCATAGTATCAATTAGACACAAACACCAGACTTAGGATAATGAATTAACATCTCCCTGAACTTTTCATCCTTTATGCATCTAGATCCTTACATATGTGTTCACCCACAGACCTACTAATCACTCCCAATAGCTCATAGGAGGCCCACTATTGCAAAATTCCTGCTTCCTGACCATAACTTCCATGCTACTTGCACTCTTTTACGTCCATAAATTTCACCTTCCCTTGGTTTTCTACTTCTTTCTCATTGAGCATTCCTCTCTGTATCTATTGTGGGCCTAAAGTTGAACTACTTTTATATGATTATTTGAATATCATTCCTAGACCACCAAGAACAGCTGACAAATGTCATACAATCATGTGACTTGATCCATCAAATTCTTCATGTTTGGTTGCAATAAGGACTTCAAATTGGTCTTACAAAACTTTTGATCTGTATTTGTAGAAAACCCTTATAACTGCCTGCATTCATTTTCTAAACTTTTGCTCTAGCATTTTTCTCATTTTATATGCTTTTTGCTGCCCTCTGCAATTCAATTACTTATTTGTATAAATTCTCCTGTTGCTGTATTCATAGGAGAGCCGCATTTAGAGGGGCTTAAGAGTTATTTAGCACATGCTTCAGATGTTCACAAAAAATGCATTTGTTCCCTGCTTTTTAGCTAATATAAGCATTGACAGCATCTTCTGTATGAGAATTCATACACACTAGAAATAACTTATATATATATATATATATATATATATATATATATATATATATATTCTCTTTTGCCTGTTGAATCATGACACTGTGAAAGTCACTGACTCTACTGCTGGAAGGTTCTTTGTCCGTTTCATTTTGCCTTTCTAGTCTACAGACCACCACTCTGTGCATGCCTTATTTATGTTAACCCAAGAAAATAAAAGAACCCCCAATTGATCTCCCTTTTTAATAACATTTTTACTTCTAATATATCCAAACAACAGAAGTCTTCCAAAATTTACTGAATCATCATGTCCTCCCTTCTGAAGCCCTATATCATTCTTTATAGTCCAACTATTTAAAAATATATTCATTTTTTAAAAAATATACTCTTTTTTCCTTACAGATCTTCTGCATTATGTTTTCTGATTGTGTTTTTATGGGTTTCCTCTGTGTGTGAAAGCATGTGTCTCAGCATCTGTATGTGTTTCTTGGGCTTTTTCTTTGGCTCTTGTTTTTTATTTTGTATTTGTTTGTTTGCATTGTTGTATTCTGATTTGTTTGTTTTATTCTATTTATCAGCATTACTATTAATTATATATTTGTTTGTTTCATAATGAGAAAGAGAAAGGAAGGGTATGGATTTGAGTGGTTGGGGAAGAGGGCAGGATCGGGGAGAAGTTGAGGGAGGGAAAACCATAATAACAATATAATGTATGAAAAAGTACATTTTCAACAAAAAATGTGTATCAAACACATTGTTTGCTTAAAATTATAAGAAAGTGCAGCTCTATGAGATAAAAAGTTGCCGGGTGGTGGTGGCAAAAGTAAATGCAGAGATAACTTCCTTTGACTTGGGAGTGGAAGTACTTATATCTTAGTTCCTCTTCCTCAATGAAGATAATTTCTGAGTTCTCACTATGGAAGCCTTTGACTCCCTAAAGGTTAATTTAGCCCCTAAAAGACTTTCATAACTTTGGTAACACTTTTCATTTCTGATGCTATTTCTCAGTATTTTATTCTTTGGGTCTTCTGTTGAGTACTGAACAGGTCTGTTACCAAACCTGCCATCTGGCTATCTGACCCATTCCTTCCCTAAGCCAGAAATACTCCAGAGCTGCATTACAGGGTATGGAGATAACCAAGATCTTCAGACGTACCATAAAACGTTGATTGGTGCAAGAAACTTGTTTTCACATTCAATGGGGATAATCTTTCACATGAAGTATGTGGTTTCATTTGGTATAGAAAGTCCAGAGTAATAAGTAAAGAAATAGAAGGATTACAAGAAGATCTACTTAGATCATGCCAAAACATTGTCACGTAAGAATAAACTCAGGGCACTGTAGAAGTCTATCTTACAGAGCACAGTGCTTTAACAATACTGCAAGGTACAAACACAGTGTCTGTGGATTGATGTGTGTCTAGGTTCTCCCAGTTCTTTTAAATCCTGTCTCAAATGCTGCCTTTTATCTAAAATGTTTTCCCTAATTCTTCCTGAAAAACATTTCTACAAATTCTGTATTTGTATTGCACTATACTTAATTAGAAACAATAATATCCATAAAGAAAATGTAAACTTGTTGAGAAGCTTTGTCCTTTGTTTAGCATTCTGTCTAAACAAATCATATAGGGGCTAAGACAGAAGTTCAAAAACATTTAGTGACTGAATTATTTAAAAAAAAAACACAGCAGCATGATCCTTGGGTGGACAGTTACGATTAAAAAAAATCAAACACAAATCTAATCAATCGACTTTCTCACAAGGTAGCGAGTCATAATTCTTCACAGTTTCTTATTTTTCAATCTCCCTACTTAGTATGTTTCTACTCTAAGTAATATTTAGGTCCAGAAATATCTAAGACAAAATTTCTAAGCTTCCAGAAACACTTGTCCAGTTTCAGGTTCAATGTGAAAATAGATGCATTGCTTAAACCCTATAGAATCTTGAAATATATAGATTGGTGACCCCTAGTTTCAGGAGTCAAATTGAATATGCTAAGTTAACATCTGAAGAAGTTCTAGCAAACATTTACATGCTTCAGACTTAGGGTCTAACATTTCCCTTTGTCATTCTCTCTTTGCCTAATGCTGAGGTTTTGAGAGGTTGTAGCTCATCCACTCATACGAGTGTGCTTATCAGCCTCTTATTGCTCCAAACGTTATCTAAGGAAACTTAAGGATTTATTCTGGCTCAAGGTTTAAGAGATTCTAGTTGATGGCTGCCTGGGTTCCTTGCTGTCGATCTGCAATGGTACAGGACAGCATGGTGACAAACAGTGGGTAACAGAGAGAAAAATGTCTTACCTGATGGCAGCGTTAACAGAATAAGAGACACCAGGAGAAACGAGATATGTCTTTGCAGAACATGCCGCCTCAAGATGGCCACTTCTTACTTTCTACCACCTCCCAATAGTGACATTTTATCAGTTCACATTTATTAATCCATCTGGCTAATCAACTGAAAAAATAATAAATATCACTGTTCAGTCACTGGAGCCACCATGGGGGTGGGGGCAGACATTTAACATACAAACTATAATACCACATTAGTTTCATACACTATTTTTCTTTTTCTTCTTTAGCATTCAATTTCTTGACAGGATAATGGATACCACTGTCATTTATTTTTTCTAGTAACCATGCATCGATCTACTCAATATTCAACATTCTGTTGCTGTTGCTCACTTGGCCGTTGCCTTGTGGATTTACATTCTGTAAGTAATCTCTTTACTACTATTTTAGTTGAGGTTCACAGAGGACAGAGCTAAAATGTGTATGCAGTATTCCATTTTAAGCTGAAAAGGCTATGTTTCCTCTGCGGTTACAATTACAGTGACTATATTTGCAACTTAACTATCTAAAAGCGCACAATTTGGTGCTATCAATTACACTGGCAATGCTGTACAACTACTGTTATTTCCAAATATTTTCAACAATAACAAAAACATGATGTTCATTAGCAGTAACTCCGAATTCTTCCCTCTCTCCATCTTCTGGTGATCTATAATTTACTTTCTCCCCTATTAGGAACCTATTCTAGATATTTGATACAAGCAAATCATAAAGATTTTGTCCTTCTGGGTCTATGCGATTTCTCCTTGAATTAGATTTTCAAGTTGTTGGGATTGTCTGCCTGTCTGTCTGTCTGTCTGTTTGTTTGTTTCAACATGAGGAAACATCTTTCCTCTCTGTGGCTGAGCGGTGTCCTCTTATCCGTGTGCCACCTTTTCTTTGTCCATTCATCTTTCAATGAATGCTTGCTTCACAGTCACTTGTGAACTTGCATGAAAAGTGAGTGGTATAGTTTTGCTCATTCTTGTTTTCAATTATTTGAATGTATTTAGGAATTGTAGTAATCATCACCTGTTTCCTCTGTTTAACTTTTCAAGGACCCTATGGGCTAATTCCACGAGTACTAAAAGCATCTTCTATCCTCACCAGCAGTGGAATGAGATTCTGATTTCTTTCTTCCTCTGAACATCTTTATTATTTTTCTTCTAAAAATAATTAAAGTCATTCAGTAAGTATGATCTTGAATTATTCTTTGATTTTTAACTTGTGTTTCTCAAATGTATAACATTACACATTTTTTACATGCCTAGTAGTGAACTATGTAGCTTTTTAAAAACATTTGTTTATTTGTTTTGTTTTAGGGCACATACATGCCATGATGTAGAGATCAGATGACAATGTGGGGGAGTGCTCTATTCTACTCCATGGGTCCTGAGGATCAGACTCAGACCATCAGGATTACCAGAAAACACCTTTTCCTGCTGAGCAAAATGATGGAACACTTATGTAGCTTTTTCTTTTTCAAGGAAATGTATTTTCCCATCTTGAAAGTCTATATTATTGGATTTAGCTCCTTTTTGTAATCTCGATACAAAACTCTTTTCATATATGCTTTAAGTTTTTTGTACCATTTTGTGCTTGCTTTTGTTTTTTCTTTCTGTATGATCTTTTGTTTTAGAAAGTGTAAAATTTTAATGACAATCACTTTGTAGTTTGCCATGTGCTTTTTTTGTTATATATGAGAAAACACTGCCAAAGGAAAGCCAAGATTTACTCCTATGATTGCCTCTAAGAGTTTAATCATACTAGCAATTACATTTTGAGTAAATGTTTGTTCGTATTGCAAAGTTCAACTTTAATTTTCACATGTAGACATTTAATTTTTAAAGCATCATTTGTTGAGGAAACAGTTCCTAAGAGATAGCATTTACTTAGGCTATCAAATTAATTGAGCAATGGTCAGATGTAGTACAGATGAAGCCGGTACTCTACAAGAGAACTGCCTGCATTGGTATGAGTCATTTATGACCATGAAGAAATCAACTTTATGTATGTAGCCTAAAATAAAGTCTTTCTAATGGTAGAACTGACTCTGTTCCCCTGCAATCTACAAGAAAGGAGGTGTTTTAGGCCACAGGTCAGCTTTTGGTGATTAACAGCAATGCCTATTATAATAAGATTAGCTGCAGTTTTTCCAGAGGCTGTGCTCTTATGCTGCCTTTCCTGGGGCAATGTGAACAAATGCCCATTTGACCCAGATGAGGCATCAATGACAGCCCAAAGAAATGATTCCACCCAAGTCTAGCTTGGTGAATCAGTGTTTATTTTCATTATTTACAATATCATGGGTGACTCAAAGGCATCCACACCACCAAGAAGCCCACTGTAGCATGAAGACAAGAGTCTTCTCTCTCCTGACAACTATTTACTGGTCAGTTGAATTTGGTGAACTTTTTGTGGATGTTATAACTTGCCTGAGCTTCAAGGGCCTCCTGAGTCTTATTAGCCTTGGCTCTCCAGGAGGGAATGTTTCAACTTAGAAGAAACACCTTCATAACATATATTTGTGACATAAATTTGTGTTTATACTTTGGCACCCACTTTACATAGATTGTGCTGGATGGTTTTATCTATTTGATAAAAACCTAGACATATCTGGGAAGAGAGAACCTTAACTAAGAAAACACCTCCACAATATTAGACTGTAAGCAAGCCCATGGGGCATTTTCTTGATTAATGATTAATATAAAAGGGATAAGCCCACTGTAGGAGGTGCCACCCCTAGGCAGCTGATCTGGGGATGTAAGGAAGCTTGCTTAGCAAGAAAAAAAAACAGAGAGCAGCATTTCTCCCTGGCTTCTTCTTCAGTATCTGCCTCCAGGTTTCTGACTGGAGTTCCTTTCTGGAACTCTTGCTCTGACTTCCATGGAATGATAGACCTGTAAGATTAAACAAACTTGTTCCTCACCAATTTTTTTTAGCTGTTTATCACAGCAATAGAAAAGTAACTGGGACAAAATATATTCAAGAATTTTTTATATATGCATATAAAAATCTGAGAATATCTGTGGCTGCTGGATGTGGCTAATATTTGTTTGGGAAAGCCTATTGTTCAATTTTCATCAATTTTACAAGTCACTTAACCACATGTTTGGCAATTAGATATTGAACATGGTAGGGATAACTTATAAGTAAGAAAAAAGCAAATTCTATAGGTTAGGACTATATTTGTCTTAGAGCTTTTATTGATGCTCTAAAACACCATGACCCAAACAACTTGGGGAGGAAAGGGTTTATTTCATCTTACAACTCGCAGATCACACTATATCACCAAGGAAATTAGGGGCAGGAACTCAAGGTAGGAACCAACCGTGAGTTAGGAACTAAAACAAAAGCGTGGAAAGATGCTGATTACTGGCTTGCTCTTACTTGGCCTGTTTCGTTTTCTTTCCTATACCCTCAGAACCACGTGTCTTCCCACATTAATCATTAATTTAGAAAATGCTTTACAGGCTTTGCTACAGAAAATCTTGATAGAGGCACTTTCTCAGTTAAGGCTCCTCTTCCTAGATAACTAGCTAAATTGATAAAACAAAACAACTATCCAGTACAATGCTAAACCTCCCACCAAAGTGGGGGGAAACAGATAGCAAGTATTTATCTGCACCATACTGCTGAGATAAATCATGTTAATTTTTGTTGGTAGTGTTATCTGCTAGGTGATGTTTAAGGGTACTAAAATTGAGTTTGAGGAATCTGCATAGCGAGTGCCCTGATACTCCAATATAAAGAGCCTAATGAAGTTGTACAATGAAAGCAGCTGCCACATGTTGAGTACTATTGTATGCCAGGCATTTTAAACAACATCCTTTAGTTGCCATAACAACCCAACTGTTGGTTATTATTCTAAGCATAGTATCTCCACTTTCTATGTGAGGAAACAGATCTGGTAACTTGAAGCAATTGCTAGAGTTCATGTATTGTCCTCATGAGAAGTCATGTTTCAGTTACCTACTGGCCTTCACCTCTGATAATTCAGTTTTTCTTTCGCTATGAGCAAGTAAATTTAAAAACCAGATACATTAAATGCAGTTTTTTGGAGTATTTTCCATATTAATATCATTAAGAGTATTTACTCCTTCTAGTTCTTGTTTTCTATATTTATAAAATGAATAGTTTGGTAAAATGGCACTTTAGCACCAAGTAAATATGTTTTGAATTTATGAAAATGCTTATTTCAGAATTGTTCTACTAGAAATATCAGTTGTAAAGATTCTAATTGGGAATTAATTTTGTAACTTATTGGTTATAAAATCTATGTCTATTTCTGGAGATCTGACTGTGGGATAATACCAAAGAGTTTCAGTTATTTTATCTAGCAAATAATAACCACAGTCATAACACTTCACACAGTCTCACCCCAAGTTGTTAATAGGGATGAAATATTTACGTGAATTGCTCAACAACGTAAAATGGAGTCTTAGGGTTTAGATATTTGTTGTTTCCCCAATAGACCATAAGTTGGGTTTAGTCCACACTGTAGTGATGTTGAGGTGGTATAACTCAGATGGACCTGGTAGGAGACCCTTAGGTTATTGGAAAACTGCCTTTGGAAGTGAATGCTGGTCTCTTACAGTTAGCTTTTGCAATGGAGTTATTATGAAACCCTGAACCTGACCAGTCTGTTTCCAATTTTCCCTAACCCTTCCATTGTGATCTGCCAGGAGGTCTTCACTAAAGACAAAACCAATGACACCCCCGATATTGGGCTTTAGTCGCCAAGACTATGAACTTTTGACTAAGCAAATTTCTTTGTAAATGTATGGTACCTCGGATATCTCATTATAGCTACAAAAAGTAAAATAAATAGCTCTTTTTGCTAGTTTGGCGATTTAAGGATATGCATTATTTTATCTACAGCAGAACAAAAATATATGTACAACATCATTACATAAATAATTAATATGTTTATTCTGTAGTTTAACATGGGGAAAAACCAATATATAGTTTCATAGTAATTTGGAAGTTGTCTGTCAAAAAGGGCAATATAGTTTTGGTATGCAAATATAAAAGTGACCACTGGTATGTCATAATGTATTTAAATAACACTTCAAAAACAAGACTGTTTGCATCGCATCTTCTGACTACTTGATTGCTTCAGTTAAATGAGATTGAACTGAAACGACTCTGCATCAGTAAGAAAGTGATTACCTACAATTATCTTAAAATATACTGCATATGTTGGATGCTATCAGTTATCTTGTTTTACTTCATTATGATTTAACTGCTTTATAATATAGAGCCTTAGTTAAACCATGGAAAATGAAGACACACACACACACACACACACACACACACACACACACACACACACACACACGCATCTCAAGGGCAGGGCTGTGAAGGTGTATTTTCTGTACTTGAGTACTGTAGCTTGCTTGCCTTGACAGTTTGACAAATGTATTCAGTGACTCCTTACAAGGCCATGTTCTACTGAGTTCTACCTTTTAATCACTACCCAAACCTGGGGGAGGTTTTGGCATTTTTCAGGACAGCTTCTCTCCCTTTGTTTAAATAAACACCCATTACACAGACTGAAGAATAATTTCACTAAAAGCTATGACCCAATCAAATGAATAATTGAATGGAAACTCTAGAGAGCCAAATGCTCTGAAAAGTGAAGTGGGCTAGTTTTAGGGAGTAAGAAAAGTGGTAGGGGACTGGTTTTTTGGGCTCACACTTTATGTCTTTCTCAAAAAAAAAAATAATGGAGCAACTAACACTGGTAATCCCTAAAACAAAGCATGAGATTCAGCAGAGCCTAGTGTTGCAAGAGCAGAGGTTTGGGAATCAGCTGGCTCTGGGTTCAAGTCTCAGTTCTGTTACATGCCAGCACTGTCATCTTGGACAATTTGTCTTTAAAATGGGTACAAAAATAGAGCTTGACTCACAGGATACTTGTGGGATTGCATGAGATAAATGGAGAAAAAAGAGCAAAATGGCTGGAAACTAAAGCAGGAACTAACAAGGAAACTCCACATAGTTTATCTGGTAGTTAAAAGAGGTTTATTTCAGGCTAACTTACAACCAGTAAAGGGGTTGGTTACAGGATCCGGGACAAGTGAGATGCAGTCCAGCATAGTTCTTTGGAGAACTCTGACTTGGTCTGCAATCCAGCATCCAGGATCATGAGGAGCCAAGAGAGCCAGCACATATGCATCTGGGGTCTTAAGAGCTCCCATCTCAGCCATGCCCCAGGGGCAGGTCATAGGCTTGAGTAGCAGTTATTGGCTGCCTCACTATGGGCAGTGCTTCAAGGTCAAGGCTGGAACAGCTATCCACTGCAGGAGACAAGTGGATTCATAAATATACTGGCTGCTCACTAGTATTTAAAATCTCTCCCCAATTATAAATCAATTTAAAAATATACTAAGGATATTAGTAGCCTAGTAAAGGGCTTATATCAAAGTCCTTACTATAAGACAATAACCAACAGCAGAAAAGAGTTTGCGTGACAATCGGGGTATGTTGTGATGCTCACTGGATAGATGCCTTGAAAATAAGAACAGGGGACATGAATGATATCTTGCCAGGAATGGGAGTACCAGCATCATCTCAACACATGTCAGAATTGAGACAATCTTTAACAAGATTAATATATTTTTGTCTCACATTCGTCTGTGAAACACTATAAATGTATCCATCTCTGAAGGTTTCATAGCTTGGATCATCTGCAAGATCTAAATTGTGCTACATAACTCAGCTCTAGTTAAAAGCCAGAGAATGATGCTTCCCCTGAACCAGATGTAAGACAAAGGGAAGAGGGAGGTGCATGAAGGAGCATGCATCCCTTCATCTCAGGACGTTCCAAATGCAGAGGGGAGAATGGACCTTTATGCATTTCTGGGCATCAGCAAAAGCAAATGCTAGGAAGATTACTCATCAGTGTGATGCCGACATAAATGTAGAGAAATGTATCATGCAAGCACAGATTATTAAGCATCAGTTTAAAACAATGCCAACCAAACTTCAGAAAAGGAAGTTATTCTAATTATCTCACTGAAAGTTTCTAAACCACAAAGTAAAACATGTACCCATGTAAAGGCCAGGCATGGTGGCATGGACCTGGAATCCTAGCTCTCAGGGGTAAAGATGTGAAGATCCACAAATGGCCTTGCTGAATTGGAAGAACTCCAAATTCAGTCAGATATCTTGTCTCAAAATATATAGATTATGGATAAAAAACAACAGAGGAAAACATTTGAAATTGACCTCTAGCCTCCATAAACATGTGCACACACATATGTGAATACGTACATTCACAACACTCTCAGAAAAAAGAAACAATAATAGTAGTAATAATCTAATCTAGAGGGGCATGGCAAACTTGGGTTTTGTATATGTTTAATATTCTTAAATCTGGACAAATTTCAGAGTTCTACCTTTACCAGCTTTAATATTTTAAAGTGTTTTCTAGTTGTTTTATAGAATGTACTTCAAATCAGATTTATTATGATTGTGTTTGAGTTGTTTATTTTGCTAGAAATATCACTAGTGGGATGTTCTCTTTGATAATAATAATTTTGGTTACTCAGCTGAGATTTTGGCATTTTGGTTGTGAGCTTAGCCTTTAACAGCTGAGCCATCTCTTCAGCCCACTTGGTTGAGATTTTGAT